AGGAAAGTCTGTGAGACTCTTACTTTCGGTAAACTACTCAGAAAAAGCCTTAAGTGGAGCTGTGCCTCAAGTAGTAAAGCAAAAAGAAGCTTAGAGACAAGTGCCCAGGCTCTGAGTTCCAGCCCCAGGACCAGCACAAAGGAAAAAAGAAAAGAAGCCAGATGCCAGTGGCTCACACTTGTAACCCTAGATCCTCAGGAGTCTGAGATCTGAGGATCGCAGTTCAAAGCTAGCCTGGGCAGAAAAATCCCCATGAAACTCATCTCCAATTAACCACTCAAAAATGGGAAGTGGCACTGTGGCTCAGGTGGTAGAGCGCTAGCCTTAAGTACAAAGAGGCTCAGGGATAGCGCCCAGATCCTGATCTCAAGCCCCACAATTGACAAAAAAGAAGAGTGAGTTATGGACTTTACTGCTCAGGCTAGCTTTGAGCCATGAGCCTCAGAATCTCAGCCTCCTGAGTAGAATTTCAGGCCTGAGCCACAAACACCCAGCTGGATTAATTTTTTTACTTTACAGTTCCTGGCCTATGCTAAGCTTTTCATAATGGGAAAGCCCTTTTGCTACATTTGCTACTCCTGCATTATAGGGGTATATCTTTTTTTCTTTTTGTTGGTCATGGGGCTTGAATTCTGGGCTTGGGAGCTGTCCCTCAGCTCTTCGGCTCAAGGCTAGTGTTCTACCACTTGAGCCACCATGCCACTTGCGGGTTCCTGAGTGGTTTATGGGATATAATTGGAGATAACTCTCACAGAGTTTCCTGCCCAGGCTGGCTTTGAACTGAGGTCCTCAGATCTCGGCCTCCTGAGTAGCTAGGATTACAGGCGTGAGCCATCGGTGCCCTCCTTCTATTAAAGGGGTATAAAAACCCAAATTAAAGGAGTTATTATAAAAATTATGGGATCCTCTGGCCTTCCACATCAGCCACAGCTCCACTTCTCCTTTTACTGGCTAATTGGAGATCTCATATTTTCCTGCCTGGCCTGGCTTTGAATGGCAATCTTCAGATCTCAGCCTCCCTGAGTAGCTAAGATTAAAGGAAGCACCTGTTAAAACTTAAGATACTAAATTATTGTACATTTCAGTTAAAATATCTTTTATTCTAAGCTTGTCTTTTTTGTCAGTTGTGGGGCTTGAACTCTGGCCCTGGGCACTGTCCCTCAGCTCTTCAGCTGAAGGCTAGAGCTCTACAGCACCACTTCTGGCTTTTTCTGTTTATGTGGTGCCGAGGAATCAAACCCAGGGCTTCATGCATGCAAGGCAAGCACTCTACCACTGAGCCACCTTCTCAGCCTGTCTTTTTGTTTTTGTTGGTCATAGGGCTTGAACTCTGGGCCTGAGCACTGTCCCTCAGTTCCCCAAGCTCAAGGATAGCGCTCTACCACTTGAGCCACAGCACCACTTCTAGTTTTCTGGTGGTTAACTGCAGATGAGCTTCATGGTGTTTCCTGCCCGGGCTGGCTCTGAACCATGATCCTCATATCTCAGCCTCCTGAGTAGCTAGGATTACAGTGGTGAGCCCCTGGCGCCTGGCTTGTCCTTATTTTTTAGTGAACTTTTGTGTGCCAGTAATGGAATCTGACCTCGCCTTTAAGCTCATTTGACTTTTTGACAGTGTGGAGCCTGAACTCTGGGCCTGGGCACTGTCCCTCAGCTCTTCAGTTCAAGGTTAGCGCTCTACCAGTTGAACCACAATGCCACTTCTGGCTTTTTCTGCTTATGTGGTGCTGAGGAATCAAACCCAGGGCCTCATGCATGCAAGGCAAGCACTCTGTCACTGACCCACCTTCCCAGCCCCTCACTTGACTTTTTCACTCAAGGCTGGCACTATACCACTTGAGCCATACCTTCACTTCATTTTTTGCTGGTTAATCATAAGTAAGAGTTCCTTGAATTTGTCGGCACAAGCTAGTTTCAAACTATGATCCTCAGATCTGTCTCTGGACAGGGTTACAGGTGTGAACCACCAGCACCTTGCTTTAGTGAAATCTTTCTCTTCACATCATTTGTAATTTTTCTTTTTTCCTTTTTTGTGCCAGGCCTGGGGCCTGAACCCAGGGCCTAGGTGCTGTCTCTGAGCTCTTCGGCTCAAAGTTAGCACTCTACCACTTGAGCCAAATATGTACTACCAGCTCTTTGGTAGCTAATTGGGGATTCTGTTCAGGCTGGCTTTGAACCATCTCAGCCTCTGGTGTATAGCTAAGATTACAGGCATGAGCAACTGGTTCCTGGCTATAGCCCGTAATAATTGTAAGGGCTTTCCACTGAGTATCTGTGAAAAATAAAACCTTTAGTTATTCCAAACAGACACAAAGCTACCAGTCTTGAATTTTCTAATAAGACTAAATTTATTCAATACCCTAGTAAAAGTTTTGATTATAATTATCCAACAGTATAAAAAAGTACAAAACAGATTTTGTAGATTTCTAATATATTAATAAAAAGTGCATGACTACAATACCGAACATCCTACAGGCAAAGAGAGGTGGGAAGGGGGAAAAAGAAGACTGTGGTTGAGGTCTAGTAATAAATAAATAAATACAGAAGTTGAGATGATCAACATTATAGTATATCCTACCACCAATACTGCAGCCAAATGTACAAAAGTTTAAAAAAAACAAACCACTTCCAAACAACTCAGGAGGAAGACGATGGCTGGACTCACTATGAAACTCAAAAGGCTATGGCCGAGCGTGCCCAACTCACTGTGCAGTCTGTGCCCACGGTGGCTTGTAGCATATTGTTTTTTTTTTTTTTTGCAAAAGAAATAACTATAAAACTATAGGGTTCTCCTTGAAAGTGGCTCACTCTCCATTTTGTGATACTAGTGTGTGTGTGCATGCATGCTTGCAGGCACTAGGGCTTGAAGTCAGGGACTGCCCACTGTCCCTTAGCTTGCTTTCTTTTGGTGCTGGTCCTGAGATTTGAACTTAGGGCTTGGGCACTGTTCCTGAGCTTTTTTGCTCAAGGCTGGCACTCTCCCTCTTGAGCCATAAGCTCTTTTGGCTTTTTGCTGTTTCAACAAATGGAAGAATGTTACAGGCTTTCTTTCCAGGGCTGGCTTTGAAGCAAAATCCTCAGATCTCAGCCTCCTGAGTAGCTAGGCTGACAGGTATGAGCCACCAGGACATGGCTATCCCTTAGCTATTTTACTCAAGGTTAGGGCCCTACCACTTGAGCCACGGCTCCACTTCTGACTTTTTTGGTGGTTAACTGGAGGTGAAAGTCTCATGAACTTTGTTGCCAAGGGCTGACTTTGAACTTTGATCTGCCTCAGATCTCAGCCTCCTGAGTAGCTAGGATTATTGGAGGAAACCACCAGTGCCTGGCTTCAATCCGGTTTTAAAAAGGAGCACTAAACCAGATTATTATACCCCCAAGGCTCCCCCCCTTATTATGGAAAATTGTAGAGCTATTGTTTTTCCTGAACTTGTTGAAAAGAAGCAATGAGAAGACTTTGGACTAGGTTCAAGTTAACAGAGGCTTTTTTCTCTTTTCTCATTCAGATACTGAGATTTAAACTCAGGGGTGGGGTACTCTCCAATAACTAACAAATTAACTTTCACTCCAGGATGGTACTCTACTACTTGAGTTTTGCCCCCACTTTTGGCTTTTTGCTGATTAACAGGGATGAGTCTCTTTTCTGGGCTGGGAAGGTAGCTCAGTGGTAGAGAGCTTGCCTTGCATGCCTGAGGCCCTGGGTTCAATTCCTCAGCACCACATAAGCAAAAAGAAAAAAGCTGGAAGTAGGGCTGTGGCTCAAGTGGTAGAGCACTAGCCTTGAGCTGAGGGACAGCACCCAGGCCCAGAGTTCAGGCCCCATGACAGGACCCCCCCCCCCCAAAAAAAAAGGTCTCTTTTCTGCCCAGTCTGGCTTTGAGCTGCAATCTTCAGATATTAGCCTCCTGAGTAACTAGGATTACAGACCTGTGCCACCAGCGCCTCGTAAGTGAGGCTTTTAGTGAGGAAATGGGAATTAGGGGCTCCAACTTCAGTATACCTTGTAGTTTCAAAAGTCTCATTCAAAAAAGGAAAAAGAAAAATCTGAATGAACCCCAAACCAATCTACTTAGCATTAACACATGCCTTTTCTAATAAACTTTAAATAGTGAAAAAAAAAAAAAAAACCCTTAATAGGTTAAAACAAGCCAAATGCCATCTGTGTAGATAAAACCTTCACAAAGGTCAGTGGAAGCAATCCAGAGCTAAAACTGAATTGTGCACATTTCAGGAATCTGAGGAACAGCCACATAACACAAGCAACACCAGTCATTCACGCGGGCAAGCCCTCAGAGAAATGTGCCCTAAATAGCATTCCCTTTTGTTCCATCCCATCCTGAAAACTTGCACCTTTTATTCATATAGCTTAACATTTATAGTCAAAGCCTTTTGCTCTGCCAGGCGGTGACGCTTTGGTACCAGTTCAGACAGGATCTCGTCTTGCCTACCCTAGAGAATTGCCATTTCCACATGAGGTGCTTGGATTCTGCTTTCAGATTTCCACATGAATTAAAACCTGCATCCAATATTAATGATGGGAGGTAACAAAAGATGCAACATATACAGTCAAGCTCCCTATGATTTAGACATACCTCTTCCATCAAGCTATCATGCATCCCAAAGCTCACTGTCCTGCTTAGTAATCAGTAGTATAGGTTTGAGTCATCAAAAGTATGGCAAGACCTAAGTATGCCAAAGTTACCAACAACAGCCACCTCTATCTAGGGGCAGGTCATGTTACAAATGTAGGGAAAACAAGTGCATCCAGCCATCGAAGAAAATGTCCCCAACCACGGCTTCCCGATAGAGAAAGACTAAAACTACATACGGCTTAGCATACAACAAATCCCATCTCTGTCCCCTGAATTTCCCCTAATTTTATTCATTAGAAGGGGATTAAAAAAAGACTTAAAGAGCACTTTACAGCAGCATTCAGCTTTCCTATGAAATACTCAGCATCTTAAATATTATGTACACTTCTTTTTTTTCCTTTTTCTTATTTGTAGTAAGTAGACACTGGCTTTAGAGTTTGTGGGACTAAGGAGGGAAAAGAAAAACCATTCAAAAAAACTATTCTAGAAAATGTCTTTTGGCAGAATAGCAGGGATCCAAGTTCAAAAGAAGAGGGTCAGTTGGTTGCTTGTGGTCTCTGCAAACTTCCGATGGCTTCTGCGTGGGCCTCGGTCACCATTCCTGAGTAGAGATGGGCAGAGGCTCTGGGCCCGGCTCCTCCGGCTTGTCAGTGCTGGCTTTCTTATTGCTGCAACAGGGCTTGAACAGATGGGTATCGATGAGGACTTCCCCAAAGCGGCCTTTATAGATGATCCCACAACATATTTTCTGTCTAAAAGGAAAAAGAAAAAAGAAATACTAATAAAGCAAAAATAAAACAAAGAAAGGAAAGGAGGGAGGGAAGGAAACCTACCCACCATTTTAACTAGTCCAACATGATCAAAAGACTCACTTTCCACAGTATTACCAACTCCCACATGATAGGGATCCTGGAAGAATGTAGCTAGGAAACTGAGATTTGTATTTCCAAGATTATAGAAATATTTGAACATGTTTTTATTTAATGAGTTATTTCTCTCTGCGTGTATGTGTGTGCACACTTGCACTCACCTAGGCTAACCCTGGGGCTTGGGCTTGGACTCAGGACCTGGGCACTGTCCCTGAGCTTTTGGGCACAAGGCTAGCACTCTCCCATTTTGAGCCACAATACCACTCAGGCTTTTCTGGTGGTTAACTGGAGGTAAGAGCCTCACTGACTGAGCTTCGATGGGCTTTGCATGCTCAAATCTCAGCCTCCAGTGTAGCTAGGATTATAGACATGAGCCACCTGCACCAAGCTTGTTTTCTACTTTTTTCCCCCCACCTTTCTGGAGTCTTTTTTTTTTTTTTTTTGCAATTTTTTTAAATTGTGATTAATTTTATTGAGATTTATTGTGATTACATACATTTCACAAATTTCACTGTATTATTGGATAGTGATACTTAGTTAAAGTCACAAACACATTGTAACCTTTGTGGAGCAAATTGCCTCTGTCTTGGTCCATGAAGTTTGAGTTCCATGAGCTTTGACAATACAGTTATTTCTTCCATATCAGGTGATATGTACATTCCTTTTGCATAGCGTCATCTGTTCCCTCTTTCCCATTCATTCCCTCCCTCCCATCACTGCCATTGAGTTGCTTAGTTTGTTTTAATCAATGACCAGTGCAGCTGATGGGTCCCGCTGTTGTATGTTTTCCCCTGTTTCCCTCTGGGACTGTGTCCTCCTCCTAGTTTCCCTCCAATGTGCACATATATACCATGTATGTGGTCAACAGCATGGGGTCATTTAGTAATGATTTGACCAGATGAGTGGAGGACCTTGTTTCTCGAGTCTTGTTTGTTGTATGTTTTCTACTTTAATGGCTAGGTAATTGATACTTGTATGTGGAGTGAAGAAAGAATTCAAGTAGAATTCTTCCATATTTATTCCATGCTTTGGAACATATCCTAGCAATTTTTTTTTTTTACTTCACCCATCATATATCATGTAACAAGTCTGTGGGAGTGTGTGATATTTTCTGTTACTCACCTTTTCCAATATGTAAGATCTAAAAAGGAAAAAACTGGTGTCCTGTTAGAGCCAGAAGCCATCTCTGTATCTGAACCGTCATCTGATTGGTTACTATAACAAGGAGACTGAGCTGGCGAGGCACTTGAGGTGGTACTGTGGGCATCAGAATCTGCAATAAAAACAAACAAAACAAAACAAAAATCTTCCACTTTATTATGTCTAAGAGCTACTACAGGGGCTGAAACACTCCCAACAAATCCCTTGGTAAGCATACTATTTTTTTTCCCTACTGGTCTTGGGGCTTGAACTTGGGGCCTAAGCACTGTCCCTTGAGCTTCTTTTTGCTCAAGGCTAGCACTCTGCAACTTGAGCCATAGGTCCAGTTCTGGTTTTTTTCTGTGACTAACTGGAGATCTAAGTCTCAGACTTTTCCTGCCCAGGCTGGCTTTGAACTGTGATCCTCAGCTCTTAGCCTCCTGAGAAACTAGGATTACAGGCATGAACCTGCAACTGGCTAAATATACATTTTCTTTCGTTCTTTCTTTCTTTTTTTTTTGGTCCAGTCGTGGGGCCTGAACTCTGGGCCTGGGCGCTGTCCCTCAGCTCTTCAGCTCAAGGCTAGCACTCTACCACTTGAGCCACAGCGCCACTTCCGGCTTTTTTCTTTTTGCTTATGTGGTGCTGAGGAATCGAACCCAGGGCCTCAGGCATGCCAGGCAAGTGCTCTACCACTGAGCCACCTTCCCAGCCCCATCTTTCTTTCTTTTTTTGCCGGTCGTGGGGGCTGAACTCTGGGTCTGGGCGCTGTCCCCCAGCTCTTCAAGCTCAAAGCTAGCGCTCTAACAGTTGAGCTACAGCGCCACTTTTGGCTTTTTCTGCTTATGTGGTGCTGAGGAATCAAACTCAGGGCGGCCTCAGGCATGCAAGGCAAACACTATCACTGAGCCACCTTCCCAGCCCTAAATATACATTTTTTAAAAGAACACATTTTTGTCCTAGACTGGGAAACTTGCTATCTGATGCTTGCTTTTGTTCACTGGTTGGTGCTCTACCACCCGAGCCACATCTTCAGCCCAAGAGTAATTTTTTTGTTGGTCATGGGGCTTGAACTCAGGGCTTAGGCACTGTCCCTGAGCATTTTCACTCAAGGGTAGTGCTCTACTACTTTGAGCCACAGTGCCACTCTGGGTTTTCTGGTGGTTAACTGGAACAAGAGTGTTATGGACTTTCTTGCCTAGGCTGGCTTCATACTGTGATTCTCAGATCTCAGCCTCCTGAAGTAGCTAGTATTATAGGCGTGAGCCTCCAGCACCTGCTAAGAACAGAATTTGTTTTCGGTGTCAATACTGAGCCTTGAACTAAGTAAGGCTCTCCCTTAGCTTTATCACTAAAACCTTAGTTATCACTTCATAACCAAGATAAAATTAAAGTTGCATGTGCCAGTACGAAGGCTTGAACTAATGGACCCATGCTCTTTTTTTTTTTTGGTCCGGTCGTGGGGCCTGAACTCTGGGCCTGGGCGCTGTCCCTCAGCTCTTCAGCTCAAGGCTAGCGCTCTACCACTTGAGCCACAGTGCCACTTCCGGCTTTTTTCTTTTTGTTTATGTGGTGCTGAGGAATTGAACCCAGGGCCTCAGGCATGCAAGGCGAGCGCTCTACCACTGAGCCACCTTCCCAGCCCATGACCATGCTCTTGCTTGGCTTTTTCACTCAAGAATAATGCTGTACCACTTGAGCCATACAGCTCATTTCCAGATTTTTGTTTTTGCTCAAGGCTAGCACTCTACCACTTGAGCCACATTCTACTTCTGACTTTGTTGTGGTTAAGTTTCATGAGCCACAGGCAGTGGCTCACACCTGTAATCTTAGCTACTCAGGAGGCTGAGATCTGAGGATCATGTTGAAAGCCAACCTGGACAGCAAAGTCCGTGAGACTTTTTGTTGGTGGTGGTGGTCATGGGGCCTGAACTCTGGGTGTGGGTGCTACCTCTCAGCTCTTCAGCTCAAGGCTACCACTCTACCACTTGAGCCACAGCGCGGCCTTTTCTGTTTACATGGTGCTGAGGAATCGAACCCAGGGCCTCATGCACGCGTGGCAAGCACACTACCACTGAGCCACCTCCCCAGACCCCCGAGACTCTTATCCCCAATAAGCCACCAAAAAAACGGAAGTGGCAATATGTCTCAAGTAGTAGAGTACTAGCCTTGACTTGAAGAACTAAGGCACAGCGCCCACGCTGAGTCCAAGTCCCACAACCAAAAAAAAAAGTATCATGAACTTTCATGTCAGGCTGGCTTCCAACTGCGATCCTCAGATCTCAGCCTCCTCGGTAGCTAGAATCACAGATGTGAGCCCCAAAAGACACATAACCATTTAGCTCCTTTCCTTAGGGCCATGTGAGAGTCTGAGTCTCATTTGATATTTTCCCATATTCAGTCACACTGTTTACTGCTAATTCCATCATCTGCTTTTTCCTTATTAGAACAAGGTAGGTGTACACCCAGTGCCTACACCTCAATGAATGACCGCAGCCCAAGCACCGAATTCAGGGAACTTTAAAATCTGCTCTATGTGTACTTGATATATATCACACTTCCCTTTGGAGATGAGCTTCATGAAAAATCCTGTTTCTTAGCCAGATGCTGGTGGCTTACATCTGTCTGTAATCCTAGCTAATCTCAGGAGGCTAAAATCAGAGTATCAGGGTTCAAACCAGGAAAGTCCACAAGATGTTTATTGCTAAAAGTGGAAAAAGTGTATCTGTGGCCCAAGTTGTAGAGCCTTGAGCAAAAAAAGCTCAGGAACCATGCCCAGGCCACAAGTTCAATCCTAAGAATGGCATATTCCCCTCACCCCCCAAAAAATCTAATAAATAATCCTATTTCTTTATATAGCATTTCATGGTCATTTATCAGTCACTACTCTGCCCATTTAGCCAATTCTTCCTCTACCAGTCAGTTTAGCAAAACAAATTCTTTGACCTTTTGTTTCAGAATCAAGTAGAAGGCATTTTAGGCAATGGACTCTACGTTAAGACCTCAGTTCCTAGATAGTGCTGGTGACTCACGCCTATAATCCTGGCCTTCTCAGGAGACTGAGATCTAAAGGATTGTGGTTCAAAGTCAGTCCTGGTAGATGGAAAACTCCATCTCCCAAACAACTAGGGGAAAAAGCCAGGCTGAAGGTATGGCTCAAGTAGTTGAACACCAGCTATGAGCAAGCAAGCAGTGAGAACACAAGGCCTTGATTTTAAGGCCCTGTAAAAAAGGAAAGAAGCAGGAAGGTGTTTGGTATAACTGGTCCCTAGCATGCAAGATCCTCAGCCCTGTCAAAAAGGGAACAAACAAGAAGAAAGTTATCTGAATATACCATTCATCAACAACCACCAAAAACAAACTGGAAAACCACTTGGTATACCAAGGTTTGAAACTTACTGTGACGTTTAAACTCCTTCTGCAGTTTACTGATCTGGTTGCTCTTTATCCTGTTTCCAGATAGAGTTTTCACTTTCTTTGGTTTCAAGGTAGTCTTTAGGCTGGGACCTGCTCTGGCATCTACCACCTGGAAGAAAATAATGAATATTTAATGTTACCTAAGCATTGATACCAGTGTATATATCTCTTGGTTCAGGCGTAACTCTATTTTTTGGGTGGGGGGTCTGGTCGTGGGGCCTGAACTCTGGGCCTAAGCGCTGTCCCTCAGCTCTTCAGCTCAAGGCTAGCGCTCTACCACTTGAGCCACAGTGCTACTTCCTGCTTTTTTTCCTTTTTGCTTATGTGGTACTGAGGAATCGAACCCAGGGCCTCATGCATGCAAGGCAAGCGCTCTACCACTGGGCCACCTTTCCAGCCCCCAGCCTAACTCTATTTGAAAAGCATAATATTATATTGAAAGAATGTTTGAGGTAGAATGCCAAGACTGTATCATCCTAGCTTCTCTGAATGGTAAGAGATGAGGGTTGCAATTCCAAGACAGCCCCAGCAAAGAAAGTCCTTTAAATACTTTCTATTTTTTGTTGGTCATGGGGCTTGAACTTGGGACCTGGGCACTGTCACTGAACTCTTTTGCTCAAGGCAAATGCTTTACCACTATGAGCCATATGGCCCCTTTCCAGTTTTTTTTGGTGGTTAACTGGAGAGGTAAGAGTCTCATGGGCTTTCGTGTCCAAGCTGGCATTGAACTGTAATCCTTGGATCTCAACCTCTTGAGTAGCTAGGATTATAGGTATGAGCCACTAGCACCAGGCTAAATACTTACATTCAAAAGACCAACAAAATGACTGTGGCTCACTTGAGCAAAAAAACTAAAGTCAGCATCTAGGCCTGGAGTTCAAGCCCCACATATACACATGAACAGGAGGAAAGGAGTTTGAAAGTCAAAGTATATTTTTAATCATTATATAATATTAAGTAATAAATGCCATCTACTACTTTTTTTTTTTTGGTTGGTTGTGGGGCCTGAACTCTGGGCCCCACTCTTACTCACTTTAATAAAAAAGTAGTAGATGGGGCTGGGAAGGTAGCTTAGTGGTAGAGTGCTTGCCTTGCATGCATAAGGCCATGGGTTTGATTCCTCAGCACCACAAAAGCAGAAAAAGCCAGAAGTGGCGCTGTGGCTCAAGTGCTAGAGTGCTAGCCTTGAGCTGAAGAGGTGAGGGACAGTGCCCAGGCCCAGAGTTCAGGCCCCACAACCGACAAAAGAAAAAAAAAAAGTGAATAAGAGTAAGCATCTGCTATATGTATTGGTTAATCATCAGTGGATGACACAACAAAATTAAGAAAAATAAAAAAAGACCAATATTTCTACACAGTATTCGAAAGTTAACAACAACAACAAAAAGCTTAATATACCAGATACAGGTGGCTTACACCTATAATTCTAGTTACTCAGGAAGCTGGAGTCTGAAGATCCTAGTTCAAAGCCAGCACAGAGCAAGTGTACAGACTGGACATTATCCAGCAAAAAGCCATGCTGGAGGTGAGTCAAGTGGTAGACCAGAGCCAGCCAGGAGCAAAAATGTCTAGTGAGACACTGACTTCAAGCCCCAATACCAGCACACACACAGAAAAAGGTATGTGGATACATAAAATTAGAATTGAAAAAAAAAAAAAAAGGGAACGAACATGATTCCAGTTTTTTTTTGATCCGGCTGGTAATTTCTTCCATCTTTTGACAAGCAAAACACAGGCATTGCAGATGTCTCCTGAACGGGTTTCATGCAACCTGATAAAGAAAACAAACCTGGATCAGGCTCCTTTACCTTTAAGAATTCATGCAAGTTCACTTCTCCCAGAAAACCATCTAACCATCCATTTGTAGTCCCAAGATGCAAGTTCTCATCATGCTAAATAATCTTATTCCACTGTTTGAAATATAATTAGCCTCTATAGGACCAATAACTATTCTATTTCAATCTGCTAGCTTAAAAATAAAGAACAAAAGCACATAAATAATGGTTTTTTGTTTTTTTTTTGGGTCCGGTTGTGGGGCCTGAACTCTGGGCCTGGGCACTGTCCCTTAGCTCTTCAGCTCAAGGCTAGCGCTCTACCACTTGAGCCACAGCGCCACTTCTGGCTTTTTTCTTTTTGCTTATGTGGTTCTGAGGAATCGAACCCAGGGCCTCAGGCATGCAAGGCAAGTGCTCTACCACTGAGCCACCTTCCCAGCCCCAAATAATGTATTTTTTAAATTAAGTACCAGTAAAACTTTGGTCCTACAAGAGACTCTGGTCACAGTGGTTTTGAAGAATGCAGTCAAATCTTTCTTAGAATATACATATACTTCATTAAGTTAGGTAACAAAATGTCACTCTGAAAGTAAAAATAGAGCCAGGGTACTGGTGGCTCACTCCTGTAATCCTAGCTACTCAGGAGGCTGGGAGCTGAGAATCAAGGTGCAAAGCCAGCCTGAGCAGGAAAATTCATAAGATTCTTATCTCCAATTACCTATCAAAAAGCCAGAAGTGAAGTTCTGGCTCAAATGGTAGAGTGCTAGATTTAGCACAAAAGCTTAGAGAGGGGCTGGGAATGTGACTCAGTGGTAAAGTGCTTGCCTTACATGCATGAGACCCTGGGTTTGATTCCTCAGCACCACATAAGCAGAAAAAGCCGGAAGTGGTGCTATGGCTCAAGTGGCAGAGCGCTAGCCTTGAGGTGAAGAGCTCAGTGACAGTGTCCAGGCCCAGAGTTCAGGCCCCATGACTGACAAAAATAAAAAGCTTAGAGATAGCACCCAAGCACCAAGTTCAAGCCCCAAGACTGGCACAAAAAAGAATTAATTAAAAAATAATGTGCTATGATATTCCAGTTGCATGCTAGAGGATTTTTGGTTGTTTTTTTGCCAGTCCTGGGTCTTGAACTCAGGACCTGGTCACTGTCCTGAGCTTCTTTTGCTCATGGCTACCACTTTACCACTTGAGCCACAGTACCACTTCCAGCTTTTTCTGTATATGTGGTACTGAGGAATCAAACCCAGGGCTTCATGCATGCTAGGCAAGCACTATATCCCTAAGCCATTCTCAGCTCTGCTAGAGGATTTTTGTAGCTGTGTGGAGAAAAAAAAGAAAAGAAAAGAAAAGATCAATAGCAGGTTCTAAAACTCTTTTCCTCACAAAACTTGTCTGTATACATATTAGAGTACTGATACATGTAACATCAGAACTGAAGAAAAATTCAATTTGCAAAGACATAAATGGTACTGTTAACCTTCTAAATAATTACCATGTTATAATGAATAATAAATGATCAATGGGGCAGTGGTGGCTCATGCTTGTAATGCTACTTACTCAGGAAGCTGAGATCTGAGGATTAAGGTTCAAAACCAATACAGGCAGAAAAGTCTGTGATACTCTTATTTCAATTATCCGGCAAAAAAAAAAACAAAACAAGAAATACCGAGTGTGGTGTGGCTCTACTGGTAGCATGCCAGCCTTGAGCTAAAAAACCTTAATGACAGTATGTGTGGCCCTGAGTTCAAGCCACAGGATTGGCATAAAAGGAAAAGAAATAAAAATGATCCAGTAAAATTAACTTCTAACATGGAAAATGGGCTCAACATAAACTTTTTTTTTTTTTTTTGTCGGTCGTGGGGCTTGAACTCTGGGCCTGGGCCCTGTCCCTCAGCTCTTCAGCTCAAGGCGAGCGCTCTACCACTTGAGCTACAGCGCCACTTCCGGTTTTCTGGTGGTTTATTGGAGATAGGAGTCTCACGGTCTTTCCTGCCTGGGCTGGCTTTGAACCGCGATCCTCAGATCTCAGCCTCCTGAGTAGCTAGGATTACAGGCGTGAGCCACCAGCGCCTGGCCTAAACTTTTTTTTTTTAAACCAGATAGTTGTGGGAAAATACGTTCCATATTACTGAATAGAGGTAAGATAATCAAGTAAAACAATAAGGATGCAGGCGAGAATACCTTGATAATTTCAGGAAAGAACACTATCAATATCTTCCTTGGCAAGTTAGGTTAAAATGTATCTCTAGATAGGTGCTGGTGGCTCATACCAGTAATCCTAGCTATTCAGAAGGGTAAGATCTAAAGATCACAGTTTAAAGCCAACCTGGGCAGAAAAGTCCATGAGACTCTTATCTCCAATTAACTGGAAGTGGTGCTGTGGCTCAAGTGGTAGAGCACTTGCCTTAAGCTGAAGAACTGAGGGACAGCACTCAGGCCCAGAGTTCAAGCTCCACAACCAGTAACAACAACAAAAAATATCTCTACTGCCTAGAAAGACAATGCAGAGGAGGTGGCGCTGTAGTTCAAGCTGAAGAGCTGAGGGACAGTGCCCAGGTCCAGAGTTCAAGCCCCATGACCCACAAAACAAGACAAAAAAACAATGAAATTAATTTGGGCTGGGAAGGTGGCTCAATGGTAGAACCCAATGCAAGAAGCGTTGGGTTCGATTCCTCAGCACCACATAAGCAGAAAAAGCCAGGAGTGGTGCTGTGGCTCAATTGGTAGAGCGCTAGCCTTGAGCTGAAGAGCTGAGGGACAGCGCCCAGGCCCAGAGTTTAGGACCCATGACTTGGGGGAAAAAAAAAAAAGACAAAGCAGAAAAAAAATTTTGGGACAGCTATTAGAGAGAATAAGGGGGAAAAATGTAAAATGTACCTATGGTGAAATTTTAAAAAAAGGATCTGTCTTAAACTATACTGAGCTTCCTAACTAACTTGACAGTAACTAGTGCTAACTGGGAGCCAATGTCTCATGCCTGCAATCCTAGCTACTCAGGCTAAGATCTGAGGAGCACGGTTCAAAACCAGCTTGGTTAGGAAAGTTTGTGGAACTCTGGTCTACAATTAAGCACAAAAAGCCAGAAGAGCTGTGTGGGTCAAGTGATAAGAGTATTAGCCTTGAGCAAAAAAGCTCAGGAAAGCCTGGTGCTGGTAGCTCACACATGCAATCCTAGCTAGGAAGCTGATATTTGAGGATCATGGTTCAAAGACAGCATGGCAGTAAAGTCCCTGAGACTCTTCTCTCCAATTAGTCACAGAAAAAGCCAGAAGTGGCACTGTGGCTCAAGTGATAGTGGGTTAACTTCAAGCGAAAGGAGCCCAGGGACAATTATCTGGATTAATTTTAAGATTAGGATCTTTTAAAGGCTAGATTAAAAAATAAGTGATATGAATTATTAGCACACTGCTGTAATTGCTTTGCTCAGAAATATTTCCTTTTCTGTAATTGTTTTTCTCTGTAAGAATGGTATAAACATCAGCTGGGCACCGGTGGCTCCTGCCTATAATCCTAGCAACTTAGGAGGGTGAGATCTGAGGATCACAGTTCAGAACCAGTGTGGGCAGAAAAGTTCCTTTGAGACTCTTATCTCCAATAAACTACTCAAATAAGTCAGGAAGTGGCCCTGTGGCTCAAGTAGTAGAGCACTAGCCTTGAGTACAGAGAGGCTCAGGTACCAAACCAGTCCCTGAGTTCAAGCCCCAGAACCTGCAAAAAATAAATAACAATAAAAGAGAAAGGTGTAGACAGATCAACTTATCTTACCCAAAGCAGCTTTGGAAATCCTTCTCATAGCGTTTACTGTCAGTGAATCGAGAACTTGATGACTTAGCTCTGCAAATACAGCAGCCCTCTATACTGCGGTACATCTTTGGCTTGTGAAAACCAAACATCTTTTCTTCTAGGTGAAGGTCTATAAAGTCAAGAAAATGGACACAACTTTATTTGAAACCACATATCAAGAAACCACACCACCCCCAAAGCACCATAATATTTCCTGACCAAGTCAAACATGCAGGATCTGGTAAGATCTTCTAAATTTCCTTCTACTTCTTAGTGTCTAGTGGTATATGTATAAAGAGAAAAACACTGGAAATGCAGAGAGAACTTTTGTCTTGCTGTGTTCTCTTAGAGATAGAACCAAGGACACTGGACATGGGAGGCAAGCACTCTACCGCTGTGCTTTGTCTCCAGCTCTAAAATTGGTTAAAAAAAAAAAAAATTAGTTCTTGCTGGGTGCCTGTGGCTCATACAGGTAATCCTAGCTACTCTGGAGGCTGAGAGCCAAAGATAGAAGTCAAAGCCAGCACAGTCAGGAAAGCCTGTGACACAGTTATCTCCAAGTAACCACCAGAAAAAGGGATGTAGATCAAGTGGCAGAACCCCAGGTGTGAGCAAAAAGTCCTAAGCAAGTGCCTGAGGCCCTGAGTTCAAGCCCCAATACTTAACATTTAAAAATGAAAGTTCAGGCTGGGAATGTGGCTGACTGGTAAAGAACTTGCCCAACAGGCCTGGGTTCAATTCCTCAGTACCACATACACAGAAAAAGCCAGAAGTGGTGCTATGGCACATGGTAGAGTGGTAGCCTTAAGCAAAAGAACCCCAGGGACAGCCGGGCGCTGGTGGCTCACACCTGTAATCCTAGCTACTCAGGAGGCTGAGATCTGAGGATCACAGTTCAAAGCCAGCCCAGGCAGAAAAGTCCATGAGACTCTGATCTCCAATAAACCACTAGAAAACTGGAAATGGCGCTGTGGCTCAAGAGGTAGAGCACTCGCCTTCAGCTGAAGAGCACAGGGACAGCGCCCAGGCCCAGAGTTCAAGCCCCACGACCAAGGAAAAAAAAAAAAAGAACCTCAGGGACAGTGCCCAAGCCCTGAGTTCAAGTCCCAGGACTGGCTAAATAAGTACATAAAAATGTAAGAGCATATAAATAAGGTCAATCCTATTCTAACTTAATGAGATTATGAAGACAGGGAATAGACATTATCACTCTTTACATTTAATTCAATATACCTAAGTTTACTTTGCATAACATAAATGAGAAAGAACCAAAGGAACATTACAGAAGACTTTTTTCTATCCAGCTGTGGTATGGCAAGCCTGTAATCCCCTGAGGGTGGGGGTGGGAGGGAAATCTGGTAAACACAGTGAAACCCAGTTGAACCAACCAACTAACCAAAACAACAAAAAATGCTTTTTGATCATCTTGAAGTTTAAAATTGATTATATACAGATGTATTTTGTGTGTATATACATGATTCATGTATATATATATACAGACACGCACACATACATACTTATGTGTATACACACATAGTAGCTGTTAGCTTTTAATACTTTTTAATATGGAACCAGGTGAAACGAACTTTGCCACCTATTTTGTGACTTATTTATTGCCAGTACTGGCACTTGAACTCAGAACCCAAACACTGTCTTTAAAGGCACAGCTCCACTTCCAGCTTTTTGGTTCTTAATTAGAGGTAAGAATCTCATAGAATTTTCTGCCCAAGCTGACTTCAAATCTTGATTCTCAGATCTCAGCCTCCTGAGTAGCTAGGATGAAAAGTGTGACTATGACTAGCACCCAGATTAGAAAAGACCTTGAAATGACAGAATGGGAAAAGGAAGAAATAAAAAACACACGTGATCACATGCTGTGGGAATCCCTGATTGATCATTTTAGTCAATCACATACTCTTAGTCACCTTTGTAGGTAAGGTACAGGATTCTGGTCCATACCAGCCTTGTAACTAGAGCAACACTTTTCAACATTCTTCATAAAGGGTCAATAGAACTGAGTGTTTCGTGTTTTTCTGCTGCTATGTCACTTGCTTGCAATTATTTCCCAATAATGAGACTATTTTATCAGCACTTACAAAGAGCCATGAGTAATAAAACCTTAATGTTTGTTTTCATCTGCTTCTAACTATCTGCCTACTTCCCAGCATTCAAAGTTCTGAATATAAATGCACCCCCTCCCCCCAGTGGCTCACACCAGTAATGCTAGCTACTCAGGAGGCTGAGATCTGAGGATCCAAGTTAGAAAAGCCAGCCTGGACAGGAAAATCAACCAAAAAGTGGTTAGTGGAACTGTAGAACTGGCACAAAAAATAAATAAATCCCAGCCTACCACCTTAGCTACTCCGGAGGCTGAGATCTAAGGTTGGCTGTTTGAAATCACTTGGGGCAGAAAAGTCTCAGACTCCTATCTCCAATGAACCAGCAAAAAAGAAAAAAGCAGGAGGTAGGGCTGGGAAGGTGGCTCAGTGGTAGAGTGCTTGCCTTGCATGCCTGAGGCCCTGGGTTCGATTCCAAAGCACCACATAAGCAAAAAGAAAAAAGCCAGAAGTGGCGCTGTGGCTCAAGTGGTAGAGCGCTAGCCTTGAGCTAAAGAGCTGAGGGACAGCGACCAGGCCCAGAGTTCAGGCCCCACGATTGGACCCCTCCCAAAAAAAAGCAGGAGGTAGAGGTGTGGTTCAAGCAGTACAGCCAGCCTTGAGTGAAAAAGGCAAGTGAGAGCATGAGGCCTTGAGTTCAAGAGCGATTCCAGGGAGTGAGAAAGTTGGATTTATGAATTTTCTTGTAAAAGGCAGGAATAATGAGCAGTACAAAATGCAAATTGTAAGTGAAGGGCAAGAGCTCCACTTCTGCTTCTGTCTTAGAAATAAGAAGTCCCTTCTAATTTCATTTGCCCCTTGGGAAACATTGAGATGAAATCTCACTTCTCTTCTGAAGTACATGAAAATACCACTGTGTATTGTTTCTTCCTGCCTTTACTGGAGTTTGAACTCCAGGCTTTGCATGCCTCTTGGGCTTTTTCCATTTCCAAGGTGACAATGTTAAGAAGGGGGTATTGATGGCACACAGATCTGATCTGACTCAAACTTCAAGAAATAGACTTAATGTGTTTCACCCCCTGCCTCCTTTATCATCTCTAAAATAGGGATAAATCTTAACTTTTGAAAATCTGTGAAATACTAGCACATGGCTGGTAGTCAGCTCTGATACTGTGTGTGTGCGTGCATGCGCATGCATGTACACACACACACACACTCATGCATGCACATGCGTGCACCAGTATTGGGATTTGAGCTCAAGGCCTGGCGCTGTTCCTGAGCTTTTGTGCTCAAAGATAGGCAAAATTACAGGTGTGAGCCACCAGTGCCCAGCTGGAAGTTTTTTTCAATTTATAATTTTGCCTTCTGTTTGGGCAGTTAGTTTGCCAAAATTGCTAATACCCTTAATACTCTTATTGGTACTTCTCAGCACACAGCTCTTGATCCAACTTGTCCTTTTTGCCCTAAATAGATACTGCCAGGCACCAGTGACTCATGCCTATAGTCCTAGCTACCCAAGAGCCTGAGATCTGAGGATCATGATTTGAAATCAGTCAGGCAGGAAAATCCTTGAGATTCTTAATCTCCAATTAACCAGAAAAAAGCCAGAAGTGGAGCTGTGGCTCAAGTGGTAGAGCAACAACCTCAAGGGAATTAAGCCAAGCCAAAGCACAAGGCCCTGAGTTTGACCCTAGTATCAGCACAAAAATTATTTATAAACTATACAACTTAAGGATGGGGATAGGAAGACAAAAACTGGGAGAGCCAAAGAAGGGGAGACATTGTACAAAAAGAAATGCACTCTTTACCTGACTTATGTAACTGGAACCCCCCTGTACAACACACCTTTAGAATTCAACTTTAAAAAATAAAAAATAAGGGGCTGGGAAGGAGGCTCAGTGGTAGAGTGCTTGCCTTGCATGCATGAGGCCCTGGGTTCAATTCCTCAGCACCACATAAACAGAAAAAGCTGGAAGTGGTGCTGTGGCTCAAGTGGTAGAGCACTAGCCTTGAGCTGAAGAGCTGAGGGACAACGCCCAGGCCCAGAGTTCAGGTACCATGACTGGCAAAAAAACAAACAAAAATTAAAAATTATAAAAAAATAAAAAATAAGTGTGGAAATCAATTACTCTCTTCCTTTTCTCTCTATGAAGTTATCAAGTCTAGCTTCAGGAGAATAACTAAACTCCTTGACAAAGAACAAAAGGCTATTTCCAGGCTGCCCAAGAACGCTAAAACCACCTTTGTTGCCACCTTAATAAGGTCCTTTGGCTGGTATTTGTCTGGAGACTACCACCTCTCTATTCTCTCAGCCTGCAAAACTAAATTATCTTGCAATATTTCCCCAACCCTTTCTTAGAACACTGATCTAAAAAGATTTCACTTATTTATTTACTGTATTATCTCCTAGGTTATTTCAATAGCCGTTGCAGGGGTTACTAACCTGTTACAGGAAGAAAGTCTTAGGTTACAGCCAGGTGTTGTCTACACACAGTCCACAGAAACAGGTGGAATCTGCTAACGATGGAAAAAGAATTGGGATAGCCAAGATGAATCTGAAAGGCATGAATGGGAAACAGTGCCCACAATAAAGAGAAAAGCACAATCTGAAAGAGGTTATTTTTTTTTAACATTTGGTCTATGGATTTTTGTAGAAAAACAAAAGTTGTCCTGATGTAGCCAGGCTCGATGACTCACACCTGTAATTCTAGCTACTCAGGAGGCTGAGGTTGGAGGATCACAGCTTGAAGCCAGCCCAGACAGGAAAGTCCATGACACTCATCTCCGCTTCACCACCAAAATGCCAGAAGGGAAGCTGTGGTTCAAGTGGTAGAATGCTAGCTAGCCCTGAACAAAAAAGCTCAAGGGACAACATAAATTATTTCTGGAAATGCATACCAAATGAATTACTATGGAGAAAAAAAATGAATGAAATGTCCATCTATTTTCATAACTGGTAGAAACTAGTTTGTGCTATTTCAAGAGGGAGTGTGGGGAGGAAGAATTAGTCCCAAATCTAGAGAAGTTAGTATCAAGATGAGTTACTTCAAGCGGGGTGCACTGGTAGCTTACAAGTGGGGTCCTTGCTACTCGGAGGCAGAGATCTGAGGAAAACAGTCTAAAAGTCAGCCAGGGATAAATCAGTGAGGCTCTTACCTCCAATTAAACAGCAAAGAACTAGAAGTGGAGCTGTGGCTCAAGTGGTACAGCACCAGCATTAAGGGGGGAAAAAAAGGAAAAAAAAGCTTACAGGACAGCAACTAGGCCCTGAGTTAAACGCAGGAGTGGGGGTGGTAGGGGAGGAAGGAAAAGTTCCTCAATTCAGTGTGTACTAACATTACCAAAGTTAAAAAAAAAATCAATCAGGTGATTGTTATAATAAATGATGAAGCTTACAGTACACAGAAACAGACACGATTTAATCCATTATACTTGAACCAGTAACTGCAAGCAAACATACCTCCCTGCCTTTCTTCTGGACTTGATTTCCAGATTATTCCCCTAATACTAAAAACTTTACTTGCAGATACAATGAAAAGAAAAGCTGGTGAAACCAAGGTATTTTCAACTTAAATCCCCACAGGAAACACAAGGCTAATTCAGAAGGTCGAGAAATCAGGAAGAAAGAACACAACCTTTTCTGGGTCTTTCAGGGACTTTTTTTAAAAATGTAAAAAACGATTGAATAAGAATTGGAAAAGCTAACAGGAATAAAAGGCAGTCATTCTAGAACTGGTTTCTGGAGGTGGGAGAAGGGACCAAACACATTCTTTCTTTCCACTCCAGGCTTCAGTTTTGTTTTAGTGGGCTGTTTTTTTGTTTGATTTGTTTTGGGTTTTTGTGTGTGTGTGCTGTGTAGGGGGCTTGAACTCAGGGCCTCACACTCTAGCTTGGCTTTTTTCACCGAAGGCTCATTACCCTTTGAGCCACACCTCCACGTCCAGTTTTTGCTGGCTAACTGGAAATAAGAGTTTCCTAGATTTGCCTGCCCTCTGGTTTCGAACTACCATCCTAAGATAGAGTTTGAACTCAGGGCCTGAGCTTCTTTTGCTCAAGGCTAGTGCTCTAACACTTGAGCCACAGCTCCACTGCTGGCCTTTCCTGAGTTTGTTGGAGGTAAGTCTAACAGACTTTCCTGCCCAGCTGGCTTCGAACTGTGATCCTCAAATCTCAGCCTCCTGAGTAGCTAGCCCAGCTTCCCTATGAAAAGAGAAAATGAAGCGCTGGGAAGGTGGCTCAGTGGTAGAGTGCTTGCCTTGCATGCATGAGGCCCTGGGTTCGGTTCAGCACCACATAAGCAGAAAAAGCCAGAAGCGCGGCTAAGGCTCAAGTGGTAGAGCGCTGGTCTACAGCTGAAGAGCTGGGGGACAGCGCCCAGGCCCAGAGTTCAGGCCCCGCAACTGACAAAAAAAAAAAAAGGAAAAGAAAAGAGAAAATGGCATTAAATACTAAGTGCCAGGTGAGTAAATGAATTAATGTGTCTTCTTAATAGGTTTGTAACATTTTTGTTTTAGGTTTCAAGTCAGCTGAAACTTTCCCCACTGAAAAACTTTTACATGTGTAGTCACTTAATTTTACACATGAAATCACTCATAATCTCTTTGCTGACATAAATATGTGATCATAATTTAAGTTCCACCAGTTATGTTTTCCCAAGGCCTAATCGCTAACAATCCAGTGTCCAAACACATAGAATTAACCCCACTCAGGTGGTATTATACATTCCTTCTGGAAAAGTAATACAAAGAGAAGACCATTGAATTGAGTCCTCGTCTTTGTGTTCTTCCACTCACAAATCATTCGTTTTTATAAGTCATCCTAATATCTAAAAGCAAAATATTTTTCTCTACATGTTATGTTTGAAATTTTCCAGGATCCTGAAATTCTTGCAATAATAGGCCTATGACATGAAAGAAAATAAAGAATCTGTGTGTACTTGCGAAGTACCTTTTAAATACAGGACCCAAAGGAAAGTCAAAGTTCTTAAACCAAGTTTTTGACATGTTTTCTTTCAATTCACTTCAGAAATGTACTAATTCTGGTTGCCTTTCTGTTTGTGATTTGGTCAACCAAAACTTGAGAGGAATGTGTTTACTTAATAAGAACAGGGGGAAAATGGATTTCAACTTGCATGGATTTTTTTTTCTTGGTGTGGCAAAACATCTTAAAGCTGATTCAAACACAGAACTCAGGAAAGGATCAACAGATAGAGTGTTGCTTATCGGATGTCTAGACTGTAGGCAAACCCCAAATACCAAAGAAGCACCCATGTGTCAAACCAGCATAATTTTTGAGCTAAGCCTGGGGCCACATACAAAACAAAAAAAGCTTGAAAAGAAAACCTAGGAGGGGTAACCAGAAGGTCAACTCTAGCTCAAAGGAACTGGGGAGAAACTAGCCCTATTGGGTAGCCATTACCCTAAGCAACTTCCTCTCAGTCCCCTAAATGCTTGCTTCCTTGAGGTAATCTTGAGATAAAAGCAGAGAAAAATGATCAAACACTGAGTCTGGAATACTTTAAGAAAAAAAAAAATCCCCTTTTCCAAATTATCACATAAATTGTTTAAATACCAGCAGCAGGCTTTGCTCTGAACTCCACCAGAAACAACTTCCAGCCCTTCATTTAGATTGGGCAGCTTAAAAACGTGTTGTGTTTTGCAACAATACATTATTAAAAAGGCTTTTCAAGTCGGGCAAACTTCAGTTAAAAAAGCAGGTGCTTTCAGTAAGTCTTTTCATTGACAGGGTCAAATTCATCTTAATTATTCAAAGAATTAGACCGAGCAAAAAGTTGTCTTCACCTTTCTTTCCTTAGGACCATGTGAAAAAGGGGGATTGGATCGCTGCGGCAAAGCGGCTGGCTAAGCAGTCGTCATTCCTTGATTTTCCAAGTGCCTGCAAGTACTGCAAAGTTAGGAAGCAAAAAGAAGTCCGCTGGGGTCCTAGTTCGCAGAACAAACTCTGCACCACTCCAAATCTCCCAACCCAAACAAACCTGCCTTCCCGGCCACACACAAACTAGAAACGGGAACAATCGCCCACAGTGCTCACTTCCTCAGGACAGTCGGGGGGGGGGGAGGCCCAAACTCCCCCACAGTGGTTTTCGGGTGACGCGGGGCAGGGGGCTGGATGTGCCAGCTACCGAGTGGATGGAGGAATCCGCAATCTCCATGTTCGCCGGCTTCCCCCGAACGCCTCCAAATGCCGCCTCCCCGAGGAGGATCGCCCCGATCGCCCCTCCAAACACCCCCCGGGACCCCAGAGCACCCCGCGGCCACCGCGAGCCGCAACAAACAGAAGCGCCCGGGGACGGCGGTAACCGAGGCGTCACACCGAGCTACACAACCTGTGGGAGGAAAAAACCCGAGAGCGAGGAGAGGGGCGACAATGCCCGACAAGAAACGCGCTCCCGCACCCGGGACCCCCGGCGCATCACCGTGACGACCGCAACCTAAAAACTTGAAAACAAAAAGGGGTGGGGGGCATCGACAGTGGCGAGTGAGGCCCTGTGGAGGGCAGGGGTTGCGGCGATCGGGGGTCCCCGCCGGGCTCCCGCTCCCCTCCCCCGCCCCGGAACCGGAGCCCGCCCCGCCCCGCCGCCCCCCGCTGGCGCCGCCCGCAGGCCGCGCCCCCCGCACGCCGCGCGGCCGGCCGGGGCTTGTTCCTCCTCATGGCTTTGCCCTGACGTAATTCAAACATGGCAACAGTTCGACTTCAAAGGCGAATCCACAGACCTCCCAGACTCCCGCCCGGGCCGCCGGTAGCGGGGTCCGTGGCCGCCGGCCTCCCCTTTCTGCCCGGTGCAGCCGCGGCTGCAGTGCGGGGCGCGCTCGCCCCCGGTACCAAGCTCACCCCGCGCTCGCGCTGAAGTTTCCTCCGCCAGGGCTCAGGGGACAAAAGCCCCTCCGCAAAGTCGCCCGAACTTCGGGGTCCGCGGCCGCCCCCCGCCGCGGCCCCAGGCCCGCTCGGGCATTCGCCGCTCTTTGTTTTCCGTCCGCCCCGGCACTGCGTACGTGCGGCCCCGGGGACGGCGGGGCCCGGGGCGGGGGCGGAGGGGGGGAGCGCACTGGCCGACACCCCGCGGGGCCCCGGCGTCCCCGGGCGGCGGACCCCGCTCCCCCGCGGCCGTCGGCTTGTTAGCCAAAGTTCTCCGCGTCCCTGCGAGCGCCGCGCGGGCGGGGCCGCCACTTCTCCACTCCGGCTTTTAAACTGGCGAGACGCCATCATCTGCAAATCACATTGTCCTGCGGGCCGAGCCCCGCGCCCGCCCGCCTGCGTCCCCGCCCCGCAGCGGGGCGTCCGCTCCTAGGCCGGGGCCCCAGGAGCACGTGCTCTGCGGTGCCGAGCACACACACACACACACACACACACGTACACGCGCGCACGCATGCAAGCACACGAACGTGCAAACCCCAGCGGTGCCTTCCTCCGGAGTTCGCTCGCTCCGGCCTCGGCCGAGCAGCTCCGCTCCACCGGCGCCGGGACGTCAGCGCCCGGGCGCCCGCGCCGAGGCTACAGGTGAGCACGCGGCCGCCGGCCAAACTTGGGGCGGGGGTGCCGCGCCCGGTGCCCCCGCCCTGGGCGGCGAGCCCGGCGCGCGTGGCCGCGGGTTGCGGAGGGCGACCGCGTGCCGGCCGCATTGTCGCAGCCGCAGCCCTCCCAAGCCGGGCCAACGCCGCGGCAGCGCGCGCGGCGGGGCGGCCCGACCCCGCTGCCCGGTCCCCGCACCCCGACACGCGCAGGCCCCTACTTCCCCGGGCCCGCAACTTTGCAAGTTTTCTGCACGGCGGCATTCATTGTCCGTCCGTCCCCGTCCGCTCCCGGGCACGGGCTGTGGGAAGAAGCCCGCCGCGCGGGGAGCGACGGAGCGCGGCCTCCCCGCCCGGGCACCCCGCCCCGCGGCCACCCGCTCCCCCCCGACGGAACACTGCGGCTGGGAGTCATTGTCACCTTCGGCGTGGCCGCCGGCCCCGCGCCCCCGCCCTGGACTTTCGGTTTACCTCACGAGCCCGCCCCGGTACACATCCAAACGCGTGCACAAAAGAACTGGGCTCCGGAGTCACGCACACAGCACGCCGCGATGCCACCTCCAAGACAAAACTTCCTGTGTGTGCGCGTGTTTGTGTGTGCGTGCGTGCGGCCAGAGGGGGGAGGGGGAGGCGAAAGGAAAAAAGATCACTCCGACATCAGATCTTCACACCGACAACTTGGCACCACTCAAGTAACGCTCGGGATCACTCACCTCCCACGAGCGGCCGATCCACACGCACTGACGTCCCCGAGGTGCAGCCAGCACCGCCCGGCCAGCCTCCCGCAAGCGCCTGCTCCCCGCCGCCAACCGCCTTGTCTAGAAAGATTGTCTCCTGCAGTTCTGCAGTTGCTACCGCTGGCCGGGAAGGTGTAGATTCCGCTTTCCCACTGCGCGTGCGCCGCCGCCGGGACCAAATTCTCTTGAATCGAGTTTATTTGCATACGGGCGCGCGCGCGTCGTGGGCGGGGGGGGGGGAGAACGCCCGGCGGGCCGGCGTGCGTGCGCGCTCTCGAGGCCTCCATTGTCCTTTTAAGGGGAGCAACCCCTGGGCGCGGGAAACGAGGCAGCGAGGGGGAGACGCGGGGCGGGGACTGCTTACTACGGCGGACGTCCCACAAACAAACGCCTCGCGACTGCGGGCCGCGGTGGAGGGGGTGTGGCGGCGCGACGGTGGCGGAAAGGTCAGCCCGGTACCTGGGGCGCGCTTCCCCCGACACGTTCTGAGGTCTTGCCGCTCCCGTGACTTAATACTTCTAGAAGCTACTTTCGCGGCCCGCACCCGGTGGTGGGGTTCTTGCGAGCACCCTGGCTGAGCTGGTACGAACCCGCCTTTCCTAACGTCTGCTGGAAATGAGCGTCTAAGGTTTGGGGTGGTTTGGTGGTGTTTTTAAATTTTGTCAGTCGTGGGGCTTGAACTCGGGGCCTGGGCGCTGTCGCTATTCGCTTTGGCTCTGGCGCTGCACCACTTGAGCCACGGCGCCACTTCCAGCTTTTCTGTGATGAGTTGCAGATAAGAGTCTCCAGGACTTTCCTGCCGGGGCTGCCTTTGAACCTCGTTCCTCAGGCCTCAGCCTGCTGGGAGTAGCTAGGATGACAGGCGTGAGCCACTGGCGCCCGGATTGATTTTCTTCTTATCTTCCACGTTGGCCATAGATTTCAAGCTACTGGGATGGGAGGGGTTACTTTTTGTGAGAACAGCATGGCTTTCTTAAAAGACTAACTGGTGCACACTCTGGAAGCTGAACTCGCCCATCTCTCCTCCAGGTGCTTGTAAAGGGTTGTTTCACTCCCCCAGAAATCATTCCGCTCACTAGCGAACCTGGGAATTAAGGGAGTTAGTGGAGCGCACACTTTCCCTCGGAATATGTAATAGTCTTAAACCATAAAAGCAAGTATAGACCCAGAAAAAAAAAAAGATGAAATAAAACTCAAATGCAAAGCAGGAAAGAAAACATATAAGTAAATAACTAAATAGAGGCGCACAGTACACATTTATTCCAAGAACACAAGTAGCTCCAGAAAAGGTTTGGGATTAAGGACAATGAGAGGGCCCCAAAGAGAAGAACATATTTCCCAGAAATTGAATATTGGTCCCAAGCTACCAAAGTGTAAAAAGCAACCATAAAATTTGATCATCAGCTGACAAGACTTCCTGCTTCCAAGTTAGGGTCAACAATAGGATTTAAATAGAAAACTTACTCAGGTAGCTGAGATCTGGGGATCACAGATTGAAGTCAGCATGGACAGAAAAGTCCATGAAACTCATCTCCAGTTAACCAGCAAAAAGCTAGAAAAGAAGGTGTGGCCCTAGTGCTACAGCACCAGTCTTGAGGTGAAGGGAGAATGCTAATCAAGAGCAACAGGCCCTGAGTACAAGCCCCATACCAGCACACACACACACACACAAACACACAAATAGATAACTTGGCTAATTTAACAGCTAACTCCTAAAACATAGAGTACAAACTCACTTGTGAAGTTCTTAAGTATTGTTTCTTTTTATTAGGTTCTGTAATTATACTATTACTGCAACTATATATAGAAACTATTTTTAAATACCTGTGGAGAAAAAAAAAAAAAAACTCTGACACATCTCACTAAAAATATGAACTCCTTAAGGGCAAAGATTTTATCTAGCTCATTTTTGTATTCTAGTACCTAAAATCATGCCCAGTAAGGAATGGATTCTTGGTAGTTATTTGTAAAGTGATACATTAATGGATATTTTTTAAATTCATAAAACGTTTATCTCAGTCAGGCACCCATGACGCATGCCAGTAATCCTAGCTACTCAGGAGGCTGAGATCTGAGGATTATGGTTCAAAGCCAGCCAAAGCAGCAAAGTCTGTCAGACTCTTATCTTCAATTAACCACTAGAAACCCAGAAGTGGTGCTGTGGCTCTACCACTAGAGCACTCTCCTTGAGCTGAGGAGCTGAGGGACAGCGCCCAGGCCCAGAGTTCAAGCCCTAAGATTGACCAAAAAAAAAAAAAAAGGTTTATCTCAAACCAGCTTTACAATTTTTGCATTTGAACTAAAATAAATTTGACTGTCCTGATTAATACAATGCCCTCTGTGTGTGTGTGCATACACGTGCGTGTGCATGTGTGCACGCATGCCTGTGCTGGTATTAGGGCTTGAACTGAAGGCCTAGGCAGGTCCCTTAACTTTTCCTTCAAGTTATAGCTCAAGACAACCTGGACAGACAAATCCAAAAGTCTTGTTATCTCCAGTTAAATAACAAAAAGCTGGAAGTGGAGGTGTGACTCAAGTAGTAAAGTGCCCACCTAAGGGAAAAAGCTAATTAAGAGTAGAAGTCTCTGAGTTGAAGTCCCAGTACATGCACAGTAAAAAAATCCAA